CCTCGAGAGCCAAACCGATAACCAAGGTGGCTACTAAGTGACTACTGGGTGGGGAGCACCTACAGTGTGGAGACGCTGAACAAAGGGAGAAATCACATCCTGGGCTACGTGAGATTTCATCACGCCACTCATAACAGCACACGATTTTAAACGTATAAATTGTTTACTTCTGGAATTTTCCACTTAACATTTTCAAACCACAGTTGACCATGAGTAACAAGCGAAACTGTGGATGTGGCAAGGGGTAGGGGAAATGACTACTTGAAAACCCAAAGAGCAGGTTTTAACAACTTACACATTCAATAATCCCCTATAAAATGAGAAATCTGATTACTAAGGAACCTAAATGACCCATTCAAGGCTCTGACAGAGGAATCATTTTTGTGAAATTAGAAACTTTTAAGAGAATAAAAGCAGTCATGAAAGAACGTTCTAGAATGACAGATGGGACAAAATTTATCATTACAAACAAAATACAAGAGAAAAAGCGCTGATTATAAGGAAAGACTAAAGCCTTTAATGACAACTTCAAAGCAGTGTTTCGTATTCTTTTATGGAGCTTTGCCATCCATTTCCATTCCTTACTAATCATCATGTAAAACTGTGTTCAATGGTAGATGATGAAAGCTTCTAAATTTCTTTGCCGGAGGGGTTTCAGAATCATTGTCTGCTGATTCCCCTTCAACGAAAAGAATATTAATATGGTCAATGATTCTTATCGTCAAGGACTACAGTGATTGTTTCCACAACTTAAAGGACTAACAATTGGCTATCCCTACTAAGTTCAATGTTTTTACCTTTAATAATGACAGGTCCCTCCTGAATTCACTTAACACCACTTTAACAACTCCTCGTTTTTTCATCTACATTACTGCTTAATTAAAATCTGCTTTCCAGGCTCCTCTTCTGCCAATTCCTTAGTATTTATTAATATTCCATACTATTTGGACCTTCATCTCCTTCTCTCCCTTTCTATTCTCACTAAATGCTACCATTTCATACACCTGTCAACTATCACCTAAATGACTCCTAGTTCCCCACTTCCAGCCCTCAGCTCTAAAACCACATTCCTGTGTACCTACTCGACATCTCCACCTGAAAGCCAAGAAAGCACACTCCAGATACATTGTTCAAGGCAATGTGTCCAAAACCATATTCAACTCCCCCTCCAAACATGCTGCTTTTCCTAAGAACCAGCATTTCTACATCCAGCTATCGAAATGAAACACTTGGGTCGTTGTAGACCCCTCTTTCGCTCCTTCCTCCCACTAAGCTAAGGAGGGAGCCATCTCTCACGTGGAAAGGAGCTTCATGTTATGGTTTCTGCTTGCTCTTCCAGCTTCGTCTCCCTCCTCACCTCCCTAAAAAGTGTCTTTTATTTCTCATTCTTTTCTTTTACTTCTGCTAAGTTCTCTTCTTTACCTTGCTAAACTGCAAATTCCTACAATCTCTGACTTACCTCAAGCAGCTCCTCTTGGAATCTGATAATTTGTTCAATATTGTGTTTATTGATGATAGAGATCAAAATAACTTTGGTTTGGTGCTAAGGACAAATCTTTGCTTTACTGCTCATATAGTAGTAGAGCAAATAAGACTATAAATAATTATAATGTGGTTTGCTAAGTACCAGGATGAAATAGGCACAGGGTGCTACGGCATCAGAGAAAGCATACACAATCATTATGTGTTATCTCTATCAGTTTTGCTTGGACTGAGGTAAGTACAATTTGCCAGGTGGACAAGGTAAGTCAGAGGAAAGCATTAGCTATCAGGGTACATTCTGGTAACTCTTTGTACAGCGTAGCACACCATGGAAAAATGGGGGGCGAGGAGAGGCAGCTAGAGGGAGGATTACATTATGAAGACCTAGGAAAGGAAAGATAACTAGCAGCCATAGGAGGAACATTAGAGGCCAGGAGACAATTAGGAGGCTAGTGCATTATGCCTAGCAACAAATGATGGCCTTTTAAAAAAGCAGTGGCAGTGGATGGGACAGCAGTTATCCTTGTTCCAGATACAAAGTAATGCACACTTAATCTTCATAGGTAATGTTCTCATTTTTACAGAAGAAACTCAGGATCCTAAGGATGTTACTTACTCAAGATGACATAGCTTACAAGTAGGAGGAACAGAGATTCAAAGTTCAAAGACTCTACTCTAAAGTGGAATAATGTGCCAATAATGCATGTCCAAGTACAAATCAACAATCGTGTTTACACAGCAAATTCTGGCCTGTTCAATTTACCACAATTCCTCTACAAACTTATCATAGAGAAGCATAGGAAATGTAGAGGAAAGAGACTGGCAGGTTTAGGGTTACAGATCATAGATTTTAATACTATTCCAAGCTCTGTAGTTTTAGTTGCATATCCAAATCCTAACGTTATGGGCAGAATATACATATTCTCCAATTGATAACTTTGCACGAGCCACAAAGTTTAAATGTAATCTTATTAGACTGTAAAAATCTCTACTCTACCCACTTATTCTTATTGTGCTGGGCATGTAAAAGAAGTATTGATCTAAAAATAAAACCTGTGAAAATATCCTAAAATGACATCAATATTCTTCCTTATGCAAGATTAATTGAAGAATATTCAGTATCTTAAAATTTATTTACCTAACAAATATGCTATATGTATAAAACATACACGTTTGGAAAAGTCTGTAAAATGGAGCATAATACCTCTAATAACAAGGTTTTAAAGCTAAGTGAACACAAATATTCCTCTAAAGTTGTCCTTTAGCATTCAGTAGATTGTTACTTCTTTAAAAACAAAATTATCTAAGTTTAGAAATGACTGATCTCAGGAGATACATACAAAAAACAATCTACCAAACTGAATTATGTAATTACAGGAAACATAGGTGAGCCCTAAATGTCTTTATAGACATTCTTTAAAACTTACAAAGGAGAGGGTTTACTGACTTACTCAACTCAAATGCTTTATTCTTATTAGAGTATTAAAGTATTTATTCTAGACATTCAAAGAAACATGGTAAGATCTGAACTATTTTAGGTAAAAAAAGCCTCCTCTTATCAAGTGTATTAACGGCAGCCACACACAATCTGCTAAGGTGTATGATGAAAGAACACCTGAAAACACTGCAAAAAAGAACAGTATACATCCTCGAGCCTCGAGACAAAGATGGCAGACATGCCTCAAGTCACATGTAACTCGATTAAGTGGCTACCTACAACAGAACAGTGAAAGCGGGGGACAATTTGGGCAAAACGTATCACAAATTGTGTTGGCCAAGACTGCACTGGAATACTTCTGTTTCTATTACTGATGGTATTTCATTGTTGTTTCATATCAGATAATGCACCCTGTGATTTAACAAAACATGCAAAATAAAGGGAAAAGTTTTGTGAGGTATTTTTTCCCATGTCTGACAAAACAAACAATAAACCTAGTATTAGTTTTCCAGAAAAACACTAATGGATGGCTTCAGTTAAAATAACTAGAGTTATGTTTTTCAAGTGCTCTTATTCATCTGGAAAATTGAGCATTACATATCTAATATATATGTGTGCATCAGTGTGTCTATACACACACACATGCAGTTTTAGGAGAAAATATCAGCATTTCGGCTTGGTAATTTAAGTAATGTCAACTATGCATTTTATTTGTAAAACTTTCCATAGTGAAACATGTTACAGTCACCTATAAACATTCATTTTTCACTATTTACAATTTGATTATGGAATGTTTGTATAATGCAACCAACTGGGTTACAAAAAAGTCACAAACAATATAAATCTGATGCCCAATCCTTTACAAATATGTAATTACTTTCACTGGGTTTTCAAACTGTCAAGTATAAAATAGGATGAGGTCAGCAATACTTCAGATGAGGCACTTTAACAATTACTCAAAAAAGATTAATAAGTGTATAAAGTATAAAACAAAACTGATATTAATCTTATCCTCAATTTCAGACGTGATTAATCTGAGATGGTCTACATTAAGAATTGTTATAAACTTTTATTTCTTGCCCTTCTGTCTTCACTTGCCCAAGGCAACATAAAAGTAAAATACCTAAGATATAAAGACATCACAATAGACCAGTTAACGTGCTTACATACAAAGGAACTAAACATTATCTAATGACACCAGGGTTCCAGAAAGTGACTATTTTAACACAAAAACTTCTGTATAATTTTTTTCATAAACATGTATAAATACATTGGTCTCCCAAAGGCAAAATGGTATCTCAACCATATTCCTAAACAAAAATGCCCTCAAATATATTAACTGAATCAAAATTGTCTTATGTACTCATTTCATTGAATTTTTGAGAAATTAAAATATTAAATTTCAATTTTAAAATTAAAAAATTAGACTTACCAATACTTTATAGATTAGTTTTAAGAAACAGATGTTTTGTTTTACCAGCGTTTTGTGAAAGACCTTTTAAACATATACATTTGGCCAATTCATTTTCAACCTTAAAACAAATTCTCTAAATATTTATACTGCATCTTTTGGTAGTTAAAATACTTGATTAAAAGATATTCACATTACTTCATGAATTCTTAGTTCTGTACTTTCCCCTGTCAGATTTCAACACACCAATGGCTGACTCAAACTTTTAGTTTATCCAGAAGGAATTAATATCTGTAGTCCCATAACTAACAATTTGAGGTGAGAATAGTTATATCTCATTAAACTTGTTTTATTTCTGGTAGTTTATAATTTGAGTAATTTCTATAGCCCAGGTACCTAAATGTTGTTTAATAAACATATGTGTTAGTACTCATCTGAACATGATTACTTGTTCTAAGTTCATTTATCAAAATCACTTGCTCTGTGTGTATGTGTGTCTACATGAGGGCACATGTACTCTTTAATTCCCAAAAACAGTTTTGCTCCTCTAAGGAGAGAAACTGGCTTTCGCTCAATATGCTACCAGACTCTTAAGCCTCTTCTAAAATCAGAAGTTGACCAATTTTCAAATAAACAGAAAGAGAAAATACTTATTTAGAATGACAAAAATTAAGCTTGGCAAAAGTAGTGACTTTTATTTACAATTGCATGTATCAAGATTACAATAGAAACACTAGTGATATCATCTGAACAAAAGCAATGATTTATTGGTAACGGCAATGAATGGAATATTGACAGTCTCTGGCGAGAATCAAGCAATTATCCAGGAGCTGTAGATCTGATTGCAATATGGTCTTCCAGTGTCTTTCGAACTTTAGTGGCTTTCTCCTTTTTTGCCAACTACCTAGAAAAACAAAAATAACTTTATATGTACATCTTATTAATTTAGAAATATATCAGTTATTTTCAAAATACTACTAATTGGCAATCATCTTTAAAACCTGGTGTTAACTTTTATCCCTGCATTTTTTTTTTGGCATGCAGTATATTTTCATTGTTGAATCAAACTGTGACTCTCTCCTTGAGCTTCAAGGAATTAAAAAGGACACACATGCAGGCTATTTTTGGTTTCCCACACTGTTTTAAGAAAAAGTTATGCAAATTTTCAAAACAAGGTTGATAATTTAGGGAAGTTAATAAAAAGCTGATGCTATATGAGTGACATGTATTTGGCATACTATTTTTTAGGCAATTAGAAATCAAATGTTGATCACAAATAATCTAGAATTAATACTATTTTTTAGGCAATTAGAAATCAAATGTTGATCACAAATAATGCTAAACTTATATCTTTATGTCCAAGATGAAAGGTTTCTAAACTTCTCTCTCAATATGTAGACATGCAATGAAAACAGATTAAAAATGACTAATTTTGTTGTTTTTTTTAAAAAATCCTGGTTGCTACAAATATACTACAAAAAATGTAAAAAAAAATTTTGTTTCTGTTAATGATTAAAAAATTCTCTATTACAGGATTTTTTAAATACCCTAGTTGCTGTAAATGTGGCAGCATAACAATGTAAAAAAATAAACTTGGTTTCTACCAAAAGTTCTAGAAAACAAATTCTCTGTAAGAAAGTTCAAAATTATGTTCTAATTGAATAATTTACTTCAAACCTAAAGTTTATCATTAAATAATGTATTCTCAAAGCAGAGATGCCTCTACAAAAATCTATGTGCAAGCTATTAAATATATATTTGTATACAAAAATATTGCTGTGTACATTTGTAAATGTAAATTTCATTATTTTAAACTGATTCTGTTCCAAATGGTAGAATGTGAATCAAGCAGAACTCATAAAGGTCTTCAGTACATTTCTGGTCTAAAATAAAACATAGCTGGGACAATGTCTTTCATAAGAGAAGATTATAAAAACTCTTCACACTGAATTCCCAATCACATGATGCCACAAGTGCTGTTTTCTCCACCTCCGGTAAAACCGCTTTTATTACTTTAAAAGAACTCTCTGATCTAAAGAATCACGTGTTAGACAGTCCAAAAAGCCAGAAAGATGCTGAACAGATAGTCTCAGAAAAGACTATGTGGATGAGAGTAAGAAATTTAGGTTTTAAGAACCAAGAGGAGCCTTCTTAAAAGTTGGAACTATGTGTATCACAAATGAATTTAAGCAGATAAACACTGAAAGCATTACTGATCATCGTATCACTTGGGAACAAGCAAAACACAGAGCTATTAGACTAAGCAAGAGAAAAACAATTGATATTAAAAACTAAAATTTTAGCAGATGTGATACAGTGGAAGACACAAATCTGCATACTGTTTCACAGGTTGATAGCTCTCAACTTGCCAATGTGTATTCTCTGTAAAAAAGAAGAAATTTAGCACTCCAATATGGATTTTCCACCCCAAACGTAAAGCTCTTTTATTCATTTTGAAGTCTTTATATTAATACCTCAGACAAACAAAAGTCTAGGTACATCAAAATTAGGTGTCAAAAATACTTATTCAGTAAAGAGTCCATTGATCTTCTATATTAATATTTTAAACCAGCTTAACATTCAGCCTTTAAGTCCTTCAACTGGATTATGCTTGCTTGGGGAGGCAGAGGACATACCCACAATTGATCAGCAACTACAACTTAATCAATATATTACACTAGTATTAGCATGAAAGAACTTGATGAAACTGTTCATATTTGATTTCCAAAATGACTCTATAGTTCCTGAAAAATAAAATTCAAACTTCGGATTGGATTAAAACATTATCCAAAAATTAATTAAACCATTTACAACAATGTAAATTTTATTGCAATATTATTTCTCAAAATGTAGTACAAAATTAAATATGAGACAGGAGAAAGTAAAAAATAAAGCTGAGGAGCAATACGGTATGGTAATGAAATTAAAGCACCTAGCTGCAAGCCCGAAACAAAAACCAAAACAAAATAAAAAGCCAGTGGAGAAACACAACTAGAATGATCTCAAGAAAGAGATGGTTGAGGAAACCTAGTAATAACAAGGCTGATCCGGATGACAGAAGCTGTAGAGATCTTGCACCAACAACGATGAGAACATGGGAAGGGTGAGAGAGCAGACAGGTGCGAGATGAGCAGAGAAGCAAGGAGGGGAGTAGAGTGAGATAAGGTCAATCTTTATATTACTTCATTTTAAAAAATCTTCTGGTTTTAGTTCATTTGAGTTGGATTAAAAAAGCTGAAAAATAAACAGACAGAAATGTTACAAAAATAGCTGATACGGTGAATGGCCAGTTTAGAAAAGTCTATTTTTATTACAGTGATAGAAAATCTGCTCTGCTTTTCTCATGCACCTCATTCCCTAATAAGCAGAAGCCCCTTCAATTATGCTCATTTTTATATACTTTATTTTATTACTTTTATATTAAAATAAAGCAATCCATGTAAAGAGCATATTTTAGTAAAGAAAACATCAACGTCCAATTAGGATGGCAAGCTTTCCATGCTGCAACACAAAGAATCCATTTAAAACAGGAAATACACTAAGTGTATTTTATAATATGTGCACAATGCCTATAAGAGCGAAAAACAGACAAGCAAAAGGTGTGTACTAGTCTATCAAATCTTAAAGGTATAACCTTATAAAGTTTTAACAGCATGCAAGGTGGTCTAAGATTTCTAGCCACATCCAAGATTCATTAGTGTTACCTTAGCTTCTGTCATCTCAGTGACATAAGAAGAAGGTTAATGACATTCTGAAAACTAAAATTATCTAGGAACAACAACTCTCACATCATAAAAATGTAAACTGAAAATGCTCAATAATTCTATTTTATCATTCATTAAACCATTTTATATAGCTCACTTTACAACACAAAGAGGTATCAAGACTCTTCCTCTGTGTTGATAAAATACATGCCGAATCTATTTTGAAATTTTAAATTCTAATTACTGTGTGTAATCCCTGAAAAATTCAAGCTGACTAAATAAAGAAAAAGAAGTGCCAGCCATACTTGACTTGTCCTACGTTTTCATGCCCAAGTTGCTATTTTCCATTCCACTTGGACTGCCCACTGCTGTATTTTCCTCTGTCCATTTCTACTCCTAAAGTTTAGTTCAAGGCCCTCTTCCTCCATAAAATATCCTCATTCTTTCCCAGTCATTGTTGGGAAGAAGTCAGTATCACTGGGCCGGAAAAGTATGACAACAGTCTGTGGAGGAAGACAGCCTTGAATTAAGCTTTAATTCTGATTAACTTCCCAAATGTTTGTGCATTAACCCTCAAGAACACAAACTTGCTCTAGATAGGGACTGTAGCTAGCACAGTACTACAGGGACAACGAACACCACACCACGTATCTGTTATTTCCCTCACTAGAAACCAAACTCATAATTTTAAAAAGGTGATTCTATAAAAGGACCAAATTGGCCAATTTCAGTTATACATAAACTAATTTTATTGCACTTTTTCTACACTGAGGTTCTTAATTTACAAAAATAATTGCAATTAGCTTACTTTTGAGGAATCGCCCTAAGGATAATAAATGACACAAACAGAACAAATCTCATTCAGAAATTATGAAAATAAAATGTAATATTGACATACAATAAGAAAACCATTTAACCCATGAAAACATATCAGAGAGCATAAGCAAGGGACAAAGAAGTCCAGAGCACTGTGAAGGGCGTCCACTACAGTATTAAACTATTCTCCCAGGGAACACGCTGGGGGTCCCTCACACCCTTTTAGGGAGTTTTCAAGCTCAAAACTATTTTCAAAATAATACTAAACTATTATTTGCCTTTTTAACTTTCATTGTCTCACAGTGTACAATGGAGTTTTTAAGAGGCTACACAACCTGCGATAGCAAAAAAATGACTGAATGCAGGAGATACGAAAACGAGAGGATTCTATTAAGCTAGACAGTAAAGAAATTTGTAAAGTATAAAGCAATACTCCTCTAAGTTGCTTTTGTTTTGGAAAATACATACATAATTTCAAAATATTATTTGTGTTAACGTATGAGTTTATTATTTCTAAATAAATATAGTTTTTAAATTTCTCAGTTGCAATTTTTGAAATAGTAACTATTAGGTAAGTATAGCTCATGGAAACAAAAGCTCTTTTTAGTCCTCAACAATATTTAATAGTGTAAAGTGATCCTGAAACCAAAAAGTTTGAGAACTATTGCTCTACAGTAATTTTACTAGGGTAAAAAAGCATTTAGTTAAATGGACACATATCCAAATCATAAAATAAAGACAAATACAAGCAAGAACAGTCTTAACACCTATGCTATCCTAAAGGCAGTCCAAAAAAGGTAGTTTGGTAGTAAAAAAAGAAAAGTAGTCTAGAAGAGGTGAGATTGGGGGTGTTAAAATTAAAGAGGTGAAGACAGATTCTTAGATGGACAATTATTAACTGAATGGCAGGCTGACAGGAAGACAGACAAGATCAAGTAGTGGTTAGAGAAAATGGAAATCAAATCCATAAGCTAAGGTGATAAGCAGGAAACTAGAGCTGAATTATTGGTATAAGAAAAACAGGACTTAAAGAGTAACGGATCTTATGAAAGTATTAAGCTAAAACGAACTATGCAAGGCACAGTTAAAGCTAAATCCAATGGCATGTAATCCAAACAGGCAAAGTAACAAAGCAGTCAGCCAAAATGTCTTTGTTGCTCACACATTTTCCCAGTACAGCATAATTTCATATCATAAAAATGCAGATATTTAATCTTTGCTTCTCCTAACCTGTCATTATACATATGTCAAACATTTAACATGACAGATCTAAGTACATGATTGTCATCCCTACAGTTCCCAAAAGTTAATTATATTGTGAGTCAGGAAAATGACAGTTGAAAAATGACCAGTTAAAATATCTGTCAAGGTTATCAATTTTGTAAAAAAATAACATAAGTTCATCCACTGTTATGCAATTTTATAAATTTTTCTGTAATTTAATTAAAATTAGATCTGTGGATGCCATCAAAAAGATAAGTTTCAAGATGTTCTACAGCTCCCATTCCCCAAACAGGGGTGTCAAACTGCTAAGCTGGGTGCCTCTTCCTCTCTATAATCATCTCAAGTTCCAGACTGCCTGCCAGAGGCAGACATCAGAAACATGGTGATGTCTCCTGTGCTGCAGCACATTTAATCTGTGTACGGCACCTGAGCTCTGTCCTGACGATAAAGCTCTTGGTGGCAATTCTATGATCTATGGTTGTATATTTTAAGAGTCACCATAAGAAACCATTCAATTAGAAGTAATTCCTATGAACGTACAAAATGTTCTCATTCCTAAAGATCCCAAGTACCTTAGAAATTCTTTGCAACCTCAAGATTATGTCAAAATATTTATAAATAAATATTTTATATATATATTTGCTGAAATGTGTTCTTTTAGCACATAGTTTGAAAGTTATCCTCTCAGTGTAAAATCATTTAAGTCATTTAAAATATTTTCATCAGAAACAATGAAAATCTAAATCTTAATATTGATAAAGTTCTTAAAAACTAATAATAATGATTTAACTTTCTGTTATTTTTCTCCTACTTTCTGAAACCAATCATTTTTACTCTCTTAACTGGATGCCATTCATTAAGACACTATATCAGTAGGATATATCAGTAGGACTTATTTTTATTAGAAATTTAAGTTGGGGATCTAAAAATATGATTAAAAGAACTTACTGTTCTTTCTAGTTTAACCTTATAAAAAAAACTCCATGACATATGACTTTGATTTTTAAGAAATTATTTCTTTAAAATTATATTACTTCCCCTAAAAATCATTTAAACAAACTTACTCGTTTGAAGTCATTCATATTTGTTGCCTGGACTGGAGTACCAATAAAAGTAAAATATGAAATTCTTGTTGTTTCTTCTTCACCTTGATTGGACTGAACAAATATCTACCAAAAAATAATAATTTTTATGGTAATGATAATAATACTTTTTTCATAAAAATGCTTTAAGTCTAATCGATTTCCTTAGATTACTAATAAAAATACCTTCTATGCATCGTAAGGATTAATTATATTATATTCAGACTAGTACTTCACGGGACTATTACCTCCACTGTTTGCCCTGCTATTCTCACTTCTCCAGGGATGTCATGGCAAGACACCCACATATACAAATGCCTGATGACTTAGTGTGATGGTGTGGAGGGGCCATAATTAAATTCTTTACACAGAACGATTAAAGAGTATGCAATTCATGATTCAATGGACTGCTGAAATTTTATAAAAATTACAGTGCTTCACTGAGGAAAATTTTTAGTTATATTCTTTCTGCTCGTCATTCATTCTATTTCCTAGACTACTAGAAAAAAAATAGTATTGGAAATCAGCTCCTAAAACCATACTATGCCCTGCATATTTTTTCAAACTCAGTTGACTGTTTATACTCTCTATTTAAGAACTCCCCTCAGCATGTTAGAGACAGAAGCTGTACTCTTAGATCCTTTTTCAGAATACTGGATTTTTTTTTAATTTGCTCCATATTTTAAACACAATACTCTAGATGCTATCTACTTAGGAACATTGCCTCTCTTGATTTGAGTAACACACTTCTTTCATTCTAAGATGGCATTCATCAGTCAGTTTTTGTTGTTTGTACAGGCAACCACAGATTCATCTCAAACTGAGCTGATCAATTAAAAACTCCAAGTCTCTAATTAGTGGACTATTAAACCAGTGCTCCACTTAGTTGTACTCTTCTTTTAATCTAAGCACAACAGTTTACATTTACTGCTTTTAAAATTCATATACTTACTTTGATTAGACTTTCTGATCAAAACTGTCATTTCAATTTCAATTTCATCACCAAAAAAGTGATACACGTGCTTTCTGTCTCTTAACCAAGATTCTGATTGAGACAGGACACAGTACATAAGACTTGAACCTATCACAAAATAACTACATTCATGATTTTTGATAATAGAGAAGATTATATCAGGATATCTGGATTGAAAGAGCTTTTCCAATAAACAAATTGCCTTTCTCCCATCACTAAATAAGGTGTTATTATGAACACACGCTATAGCATTCTTCTAATTTACAAAAACCAGACTCATTCCATTAAAATAAAAAATCACGTCAGTTTGGTATGACTTGTTCTCAGTGACTCTATGCTGGTTCTCACTTCTTCTTCCGGGTATTCTATTAGTCTGTTCTAACCCTCCCGTCCCCTCCTCCTCTGAAGGACGGGGCTGGGGGTGGAGAGCATGTGCTGGGTTGCAGTACCAAAATGCACAAAAGCAACTAATTAAGCAGCAGCTGATTTGTTTTTACTGAGACTGTGACCACTATATTATTAAAAACTATATTCTAGAAAAGTGCATTGAATTTTACAAATCTATCACTCATCACCGGGTATAAATAATAAAACTCAAATCAGTTTAAGTAAAAATGTTCTCAAATACACATTTCACAACAGCTGCCAAACATACATAAAATAAGTAAACTGAAAAAACCACAAATTTTTAAAAATCAACCATCCTTCCCCTTTAGGACATGTAGATAAATTAAAAAGATTTAATTAGATTGTTATACATTTTTACTCATTTCGAACCAAGTAAACAAATATCTACTTTAAAGGATCATTTAGAATCACTAAGGAGAGCATGAATTGTCACCCATAAACCCATTAAATATATGTTCATGAAATACTACTTACAGTTACACTGTTAACATTCTGAAACTTAACGTAACGAAGTGGGACAATACCATCCTCTTTAATATCATCCTCTGTCAGTTCCAGAGCCTGAGTTGGTTCACTTCTTTCTGCTTCTTCAAAATCCATAGATCGGGGTAGATTGATAAAAATTTTTACGTATTTAGGACCCTGACCTATAAAATGGCAGAATAAAATAAAATGCTGAAAACCAAGTATGTAATATTTTCTTCCCTTTATCATTACATCCACACTACACAAATAGGCACAAATACACACATATGCACATATCTACATGTATCTTCAGAAATTCTAAGAAAGTCTGAGTATTTTCATAGTTGTTCTCCCCATCCCCATGCCTTGCACCAAGGGCATTTACTGGTATATTCTTGGCCTGCTACCACTATTGACTAAGAATACTAGATTAAAACACATATATATATGTGCACGCGTACACATATACACACACACAAATCTTGCTCTCAGAACAGACATACTATGATAAATATGCTACTAGTGAGGAAGTATAGGGAAGGTAGCAATGGAGTCTGACAGTATATGCAGGTTAACAAGTTTCATAAAGAAATAAAATGAGTTGGGTCTTGCAATGCCAACAACTGGTACATTCTGTTATTTAAGAGGAAAGCATCATCAATAACACCATCTAGCCAAAAGGAAATTAATTATACAAATTGCCAAATTTCATCTTAGGAATTAAGATGTACTCAGTGCTAAGATGACATTTACAGAGTGTTTTAATCTCTTTAACTTCAGAGTACAATCTAAGACTTATGTTTTGTTGCTGATTAAAGAATCTAAAATATTCACATTGCTAAAATTGCTTAATTTCTACAGCATTCGCTTTTATAAATACTTGTATTTTCAGAACAGACTTTCATCAATGAAAATTCATTAATACCATTTTTAATTACCATTATATTATAGCTTACTGAAATGTGGACGATAGAATGCTAGCTAGGCTACTTTTGCTGTATTTTTTTTTTTTTTGTAAAGGTAACATTATCTTAATATTTTCCAAAATGTTAGTGGAACGAGAATGTAAGCATCTCATCTACAAGCATCCATGTATATATAGCCATATGAACTGTTACTTGCATTACTGTTTAATAATAATACATAATTTATATATTTGATCTGTATTATTTTTCTCTTAAGAGCTATGGACTAGGTTCTTTGTAACCTATTTTTAATGAACTAAAGCAATTTGAAATAAAAACTGATAGCAACCAGGGGAAAAAAACATGAAAATTTAGAATAAAAAATGAGAAGGGAATGCTATCTAATAAATAGGATGCTGGCTGTTTCTCTCAATTAATTAAAAAAGTCTAGTCCCTATTGCTCTCATTCCGTCTGCCTGCTTCCCCCACAAGCGGAGGAAGAAGAGAAGGGAGATGCACGATGGGTTGGCCGAGGGAGGGCTACAGCCCACCCCGAAACTCCAACTCTCAGCAACAAAACACCCTCAACAAAAACAGAAAAAAAAAGGTGGTAGTGCTGAATATGGAAAATTCTTTATATAATAAAAAGGAAAATACCAAGTCTGTACAATCATGTTTAAAGGATCATAATATGTATAAAAAACATAAAAACCATTATAGGGCACAAACGGGAAGATATAGAGCCTTAGTTTTATCATCTGTAATAGGAGTTTGAAATATGTATCTCCCAGTTTTGATCCTAAAAAATGGCTGCTTTGAATCTAGAGTTTTATAGTCATAGTTGGAAGAAAAGCTTCCGCCATTTTCAGATTAAGAGGGAACTTAAATTCTAAAATAAAAAACTAGAGATAAATCTCACATTATATGACCCATTCATGTCCTTGCTTTGTTCTAAAAACAATTTCGCTCTTTCCCAATACAAAGAATATTTTCTTCTATTTAATAAAAAGTTTTAGGTATGTGCTAACAGGTCTACAGAGCAGAAAGTTAGTTTGAAGAAAAACTGTCCATTACTCACCATTATCTGGTCCTTGAAATTTCATTGAATAAAGCTTAACGGGTTGATTGAATGCCACAGTAATTAGTAGCTGTGAAAAAAAATAATGGCTTCATATTAAAAGGGCTCTTGAACACCTTGAATACACAGAACAGTTAAAATTAATTGAAAGGCAGAAAAAATTTAATTAATCTAACAAAACCATTGTAATGTGTAAAATCAGTAAGTTGAAAGTGACTTGAGTAGACTAACATTTGATATATATAATCATCTAGTATTCATAAGGGAATGACAATAAATTTAATGGAATAAATTAACTAAAATTATGCATAAGAACCTAAGTTCTTGTGACCTATAAAGTGGCATGCAATTTGCTTTCCAAAAATTCAAACAAAATTCCCAAATTAAAATAAAATTTTAAAAATATATATTTTAGCATATAGGACAGTTTATTTGTCAAGTGTCTACCCATGTCACTTGATAATCTGGAGGCAATGCACAATGCCTTCAAATGGACTCTATTTGATCCAAAACCTTGAAGAGGATTCTTACAACTCTACAGTCACCTCCATATCTCCACATTTCAATTACTTTACTGAATTTGAAAGGCCACATAAGGAAACCAGGATACAAAACATTGTTGCAATGCCTATCTCTCAGAAACTGATTCATTCACTTAATCTTTCCAGCAGAAATTTTGCTTCTATCCTGGGAGCAAAATTCCCCCGGCAAGAGATTTCCAGGAAGCTGTAGCAGTCCTGCTGATATGCATCATCGAAATTATATTCAGAGCAACATTTACAAGAAACACAAAGTGAACAATACTCAAACCTATACAGTAAGGTACATCTGTTTGGAGCAAAGAAAAACGGGGTTTCAATTTCTGGTCTCATGATCATTGTGGTCTGTTTGCCTAAGGAAATACCTAGACTATTTCCTTTGGTTATATAAGTACTTTTTATACTTGGTCTGTAACAGTATATATAAGCATGACATATTTAGGGACCTGAATCACAGGTGAACCAGAGATGAGAGTGAAAAGCTAGAAACAGATCAAATAAGAATCTGACATCCTCTTTCTGAAGCCAGTGAGAATCGTTTAACTATTCTATGAAAGAAGCATGATCAGATTTATATTTCAGAAAAATAACTTTTGTGAACATGTAGAAGATAAACTAGAATGGGGACAAAGCAGAGTCAGTGGGATAGAAAGGAAATTAAGGAAAACAACAGTCAAGATGAAATAGGGCTTGATTGAGGCAGTACTACAATATTTACTCTGTGACAACAATGCGAGGGAGTGCAATACTAGTTTACATCTGGGAGTGAAGACTAGACACATGGGAGGCACTCATCTAATTAGTAGTCTCTATTTCTCAGGGACAAACTCATTTGGGTGGGTAAAATGTATGAAAGGCAGATCAAGAATGAACAAAAGGACTTAAGAGTGGAAAAGGTTCAGCTCAGTAGTGGGGCCACTCCAAGAGTTCTGTGATTCTCCCCAGTCCACCTGCAGGCCACACAGAACAGAGGAAAGGAGTGGGGTCAGTCTGCATGGTCAAAGGACAGGGGTCAAAGAAAATGAAAGTTACAAAATGGAAAAGAACTGGTCATCTGGGAAGGAGAGACATAAAACCATGAGATGGAAACATGATAAAGAAACAATAGCAGGTATAAATATTGATAATCTCTACAAGCCTTAAGCATTCAATTACCTGCTCATCACAATCAGATTCCAAGAAGGTCATGTCTTTTCGCAAACAGTTGTCAAATCCATGCTCATCACTTTCATTAAGACATTCACAGCCAGCTTTATTAATAAAAGGCATTAAATCCATCTGAAAAAAATAACATCAAGACTGTAAGCAAAGCATTTGGATTTGGTATAAAAATCTTAAATATGTGATTCTCTCTAGATTAAGCAATTTTAAAGAAAATGTCTATCTCTTTTAAAATAGCCACTAAAACTTTAATAATGATCCTTTCATGGGAATTTGTGACTGAGCTCTACCACTAATTATTAAAGCCAAATCTAGGCTTAGCCCACTTGAAAAGTACCAGAAAGCAAGTCTTTAATACTAAGATTATAAAATAGGGACTTATATATTTTTAATAATGGTATTTGACAGCACAAAACATGCAAACTAAAATTTCTGTAAGATCCAAAAGAAGTCTACCACCCTCTTCTAGTGGCCATGGACTCTTTAAACCTATGTCCATGAAGAACTTAAAGATGAACAGCAAATAAGAATTTAACATTTTACTATGGAAATTTCAAACATATATAGAATTCAGTGAACTCTATATACCCACCTCTCAGCTACAATATTCATCATTCATGGCTACCCTTGTTTCTTCTTTACACCTCAACCGGTTCCTAACCATTTCCTTGATTATTTTTGAGTAAATCTTAGACATTTGTTCATTTCATTCATAAACATTTCAGTGCATATTTTTAAGATAAAAATTCACTTTAAAAATCTTCATTATCAAAACTGAAACAAAATACTTCAATAACATCAAATATCAGTATTCAAATTTCCTCAATTATCTCATAAATGTCTTACAGTTAAAATTGTTAGAATAAGGATCCAAAAAAAGTACAAAGACTATATTTGGTTAATATGTCCCTTAAATCTCTTTTAATCTATAGTCACTTAGCCTACAGATTTCTTATATTCTGGATTTTGCTAACTACTTCTCTGTGGTATCCTTTAACGCCTTCCTGCGTATGTGTTGGCCAATAGTTCCATACTCCCAACTCCACGCCAAAGAGCTGTGGTGGCAGTGGCCGTCTGGTCTTGTTTCTGCTTTGGTGGGAATGCCTCTGGTGCTTCCCCATTAAGATTTCAATGAATGCTTTATAATAAATGGATATTAAATTATGTTAAATGTCTTTTCTGCATATTAGAAAATCATGATTTTTCTTGTCTGGATTCTTGGATTTTTGTTTACTAGTATATTTTTTAAGTGTTTACAGTAATATTCCTAGACATGGTCAGTAGCTTTCTTTTTGGGGCAAAATCTGTCATATTCTAGGATCAATGTCATACATACTTCAAAAAGGAAAGTAAAAGTTTTATCTCTTTTTCTATGGTCGTAAGTAGTTGCAGTAACACTAGGCTACCAGAACTTTAAGATCTGGTAGAATTCCCCTGTAAGGTCATCTTGGCCTTTATGAAAGAGCTCTTTTATGATTTTCTCTAATTCCTCTATGGTGATTGGTCTATTTAAGTGTTCTGCTTCTAGTAGAGTTGATTTAGATAAACGGCATTTTTCCAGAAAAGAATCCATTTCATCTACTAAAAACATGGACAATTTTTAAAGTTTGCCAAGTATTACAGATTATCAGTTCTGCATGTTCACCTTTCTATCATAAAAAGCATTATATATTTTATCTAGAAATACTAAAGCATGTATATGTACTTCTGAAAACTAAAGGAAACTCTTATATGTCAAACAATTATCAACACAGTAATAATCCATTAAATAGACTAATTATTCATGTAATAGCCTAAATGTTTTCGGAGCAAAAATGTTACTCTGTATTAATTAAATATTAAATATATTACTCAGGATAACATATTCGAAAATGGGGGGAGGGAAAAAAGGAGCACTATAGAGCAAAGTTGTACTGTTGGAGAATCATGCTGAATTTCACGAATGTTTATTTGCCTACAACGGGTAGTTTTGGCAAAATCTTTTAAATGCTTAAGTCTTTCATCCTACAGAGGTGTACCTTCAATACCGTATCTTGGATTAAGATCCCAAGCATAAAGATAACATTGTAGTCATACTTCTAATACCTTAATAATGAAAAAAAACTGAATAAGTGAATTATTTAAAATAGTTTTTAGATTTATTTATTGTGCATGGGGCAGACAAAACAAGTATCACATCCAAACAGCTACATTAAAGTGCTTCGTGTATCTGGAACAAATTGGTGTTATTTTGTAGATTTCACATATTCTCACAATATATAATGGGAAATAAATATCACTACCCATGTATGCAACAACTTGCCAATAACGAGGAAAAAATCATGAGAAAACAATCGGACAAATCCAGATTGTGGGAGCGTCTATAAGAAAGCCATTAGCCGCATGTGGCAATTTAAATTAATTAAAAGTAGATAAAATTTAAAATTGTTTGTCAGTTGCACTAGTTATATAACAAATGCCGAATGGCCACTTTGCCTAGTGGCTACTATATTAGGCTGGTGCTGGTTAAATCTTTCAAAAAAAGCAATCATGAAAGAAAAAAAAAAAAGGCAGAGAGAAGTTTCTAAACTAAAGAACGCTAAAAGAGAATTGACAACATAAATGCAATGCATTACTTGATTTGATCCTAGACGGGGTAAAAATTGCTCTCAAGTATACTTTGGAGATAATTAAGAAAATGTGAAAGCAGGCTGTACAGTGGAGATACTGTATGAATGTTAAATTCGTTAGGAGTGATAATGGTTATCATGTCTATGTAGGAGGATGTTCTGTCTTAGGAGCTACATGCTGAAATAATTAGAAATGAACCCTCATGATGTCTATAACTTACTTTTAAATACTTCTGCAAAAGTTACAAGTAGACAGGTATCAAGGTAGAGCAAAAAATAGCAAAATATTTACAACTGATGAACACAGGTGAAGAATGTATGTGTTTGTACTAGTGTTTGATTTTTTATAATGTTTTACCTTTTTTTTTTGTAAAGAGAAAAAAATCCAACACAAGACACATGGGAAGTTACAAAAATCTTTCATGTTTCAAGTTTTTGGTTAAAGAAGGATCTACTTACTACATCGGTTGGGGTCATTTAATGTCTGATTTGATTGTGATAATTGATGATAAATTTGTAGACAAAAACTCATAGTTCTGAGGTCAGAACACTAGAATATACTAACAAGCCTCAAGATTCAGAACAAACAGAAATTCAATTCCAGACTGCCTTGCATGTCAACTTCTGGAGAAGACCTGATTTAGATGGCATGAGGGGAGCTCTTTGAAGCTATACTATGTACTTTAGCTAATATGGGAGAAATTCCCCCAACTTCAATAAACATTTTCAAAAACTAAGTCATTATATGCAGAAAAATACTCTTACTTCTGAAAAAGGATCTATTATGATTCTTAATCTTTTGAGTATCGTACATACACCTTTTGCAACATCTCAAACCTCCCTAAAACAGATAAATGTATTTATCTTACTCTGGCTCCAGTAACATCAGGAGTTTCAAAGCAATAGCATATATAAAATCAATAACTGCATATAGCCTCTTGATATTAAAACACAATGACTGAAAACTGTTATTCCAAGAAATCCAAAATCTTATTTCAAAACTGTCAATATATTTTTGTAATGCTTATATTTAAATCTACTTAAGACACAGGTATTCATTCAGTGGCTCTTACTCCTATTAAGTTTCTATTTGTCTTGTGAGAGCAATAACATTTCCTGGGGACACAGTTTTAAATATTTGATGATCCTGTTAAGACCTAAATAGTTCAAAACTTTTAATTTCTTAACACTTGATGGAAAAAAATAAAAATGTTTTAATAGCTTTTCACATTGTATTTATAATATTCGCAATATTTTTTATTTCTTAAAACTTTATTTTTCCTGCTTATTTCCCAACCTGAGGCCAAAATATTGATGTGTAAAGAAGTATCCCTGTGGCTAAGCAGCAGGCCTGTCATGCGCATGAGATGTTTTCATGAAAACAACCTTAGTAATAAAGGGGGGAAAATACAAAGATGTGAACACAACACTTTACAAGCCAAATGATTTCCAACATTTTCTAAAAGGTGTCATAGGTCCTGACTTACACAACATGTTCATACTTTCTAACTAGATGTTTAATTTCAAATTATTATATAAGTTCTATTTAAAATAAATATTAACTGTACTTTCCTAACTAAAAATAATGCCAGGATATGTCAAAGACACTTTTTGAAGACACAAACCCTCCCACCCCCACACACAAAGAGACTCTCCCATATTACCTGACTATACATTCTCCTTACTCAGCATGAACTTAAGAGACTTATGGAAAGGACTTGTAGCCTCATGACCAAGATCCATTGTAATGTATTTGATATACATGCTTTCATATATTAACTTTAATTTTAATTTTTTTAATCATTTTTCAATTTGCCAATACAAAAACTTTATAACAATCAAAATTAAGACGTATCTATTTTGTTATGCAGGATTTACCAATTTGCATAAACAAATCAGCTACCATGAAATGCTACTTCTGAATTTTTTTTTTCCCAAATAACTCTCAAATATAAAACTACTGCATTATAACTATTCCTATTAGTTTTAAAAAACTTTTAAGTTCTTAAGTCTTACGTTATTATTTAGAATAACTTACTCTTAAAACTCAAGAAAACACATCCAACACTGAAGTTACTTTTAGTTCTAACAGAATAACTAGCACATTTCTTTACTTTTAGGGGCAACAATATATTTTAAAAAGTCTTAAAATGGCTATTAAAGTAGTTCAGAAAGCAGATTTTTAAGAAAGCAACAAAAAATATTAGCAGGAGAAATTCAGGAAAATAGTTTAGGATAGGGGTTTAAGGTTATAATACACACACACACACACACACACACACGAGTCAACCAGTGAATTTACTTTTAAAGTCATTTGAAAGTACTCTGAACTAGTAAAAGATAAAACATGTTGGGGGGCTTGTAGAATGGGGTGAAGGATTAAAGAAGTATAAATTAGTAGTTGATAGTTGGGCACGGGGAGCACGGCACAGGGAATGCAGTTAGCATTAATATGATGGCTAAGTGGAGGGGTAGGGGAGGGAGGGAGCAACTAGGGGAATCGTTTTATGAGCAATCTAGATGTCTAAACAATAATGTACTGTATACTTGAAACTAATTTAAATAAATTTATTTTAAAAAAAGATAAAACATAAAAACACAGTTAATTTCACTTTAACCAAATAATGGCAAATGCAAGATATATCATGATTTCACTTTTAAGTCTACATACATAGCCTTTTGGAATATCTGTGTCCTCATTGCTTCCAGGGTCATTCTCTAAGTGCTGCTTGATTTTTTCTTCTAATCCCACAGCATCTGCTCCTTGATATTGATCAATTCTCACTTTGTTTCGAAAAAACAAAAATGTAGGTGTTGCTGATATATTGTTGGTGGCAGCTGTTCCCTAGAATTGGCAAGTTAGACAGCATTATGAATTAAAACTAATCTTAAACCACTCTGAATATTCATTCTACATCTCAATGTAAGTTAAATATCACAAGTATGGACTAAAACATATAATTTATTCCTAATTATCATTTAAGAAAAAGCAGGCCTATTCCCTAAACTACATTACCCACTGGTGCATAACCATATTATATGAGCTTTACATACACAATGAAGAATAGCCCTGTATTTTTATGTTTTAGTGTTAAGTACTTCATCCAGTAGAACAATTAGCCTCCAATACAGAAACTGCTCTCCAACACAGCTCTCTCAAAAGTACATTCTGTTTCCTAAATGGGTACTAAAATGTGAACACAACCCAGTGGTACTGGGAAAAAGTGCACATCTGAAAAACAGCTACCCATGTGTCCATGAAAAGGAAGTACTGTCCTTTAAATTGCAATCTTCACCCAATTCAGCTCTTACAGAAATGACTTCTGATCTCCCCTCAAACACACTGCAACAGCTATCTTTTTAAATTCTGTTCCAACTCCACAATATTATAAGACTAACCACTGAATGAAAAATTAGATAATAACCACTGATTCGTGGTTTAAACTTTTCATGAGAAATATAAAGGAAATAGTAAAATAAACGTGTCACCTTACATATTCAAATACTATGAAGAGGTACGAGGATACTGTTTAAAGGAAAAAAAGCATATTTACATAAAGATGTCTTTTCTAAGTCTCATATAAAAAAAAAAAGATAGAACTTTTAGAATAGTGCTCTACCAAAGAAATTTGTGTGCAAGACACAAATGTGAGCTATCTATGTAATTTTAAATTTTCTAGTATCCACGATAAAAAAGTAAAAAGAAACAAGTGAAATACATAGCTATAGCTACCATATAGGACTGAACGGTCCAGAAGATAGCACTTCCACATCAGAGATAGTGAATACTTAAAATAAAGGCCAGCATTGCAATCCAGTAGCATGTGGCATAAATACTGAACAATAAACATATAACGTAGGGTTTATACTATACAAATCCCCGAATTACTAACTACAAACTATACAACATTTTAAATTTTTTGCACACTCAGAAATGTAACAAAGACAAAGTTCTTACCAAAAAAAAAAAAGTAGCTACAGCATTGTTTTTCAGTGTGAGCTAAAGACTATATTTTTCATGTTGGAAGGAGCCTTCCAAAACCTTTTTTCCAACAAAACTCTCCCAAGGTTCTACATATGAAAATGCAGAACTGTCACATAGCCATTCCAACTAAGTATCAGGGCAATCTACCTACAGAATTATGGCTCAATCAAAAGTAATCAACATTTTAAAGTTTCTGCTGAGAATGCAGCTTTGGAGATAAGATTACAAAACAATCAATTAAAATCAAACTATAACCAAGAATTCTCTCCCATGGCTTTCTATTAGCCAATGTCTCTGTAGAAGAAGATATAATTCTAGATTTGCAAGGAAAAAATAAACAAAGAAATGTAAAACACAGAACAGCCAGGTGACCTATTTGTTTCACAACATATTAGTTTTATTCAGAAGGCTATTAATATAAACAAACCCAAAAGCAATTAATAATTGGGCTACCTTTCTTAACTAATGTAGCTGTAATGGCATTTGTAATAATCATATCTACATAACATTTTTCTATCTCCAAAGGAATAAGTACTATGCACATAAAGAGATAAATGAAGAATAATATTAATGTCGAAATTCAAACTGATTTGTAAATTTCTTTTAAGAAAGGACTTCATTCCCTTACCTGACACTGATGTACATCTACTTCCAAGAAAACTGCCTGTGGATACTTATTACTCATAGTACTGAATGCTGGGGCAATCCTTAAACATGGTCCGCACCTGTGAGAGAGGTAAAAGATACTTAACAAAATGACACTAAAGATTGTACTAATTTACACTCTAAAGAACTTGTCTATTAAAACATAAAATAAAATTAAGCAAACTCTGATCATCCTGCCTTTATACTTTCTAGTCTTCTCGCCTGGACTATTTAGATATACTTACATCAATACCACATTGTCTTAATGACTATAGATTTGTGTGAGATAAAATCTTGAAGTCTAATAGTGTTAAGCCTTTCAGCTTTGTTCAGTGAGAGAAATTAAAGATCTAAAAAAATGGAGGAATATACTATGCTTATGAATTGGAAAACTCAATATTGTCAAGATGTCAATTCTCAATTTGGCCTTCAGAGTCAATGTAAAATCCCAGCAGATTTTCTTAGTGAAATGAACAAATATAAATTCTAAAGTTTAGAGGGAAACACCAAGGATAACTCCAGCCATTTTGAGGTTCAAAACTGAGAAAATTACATGATCAGATATTAAGAACTATCATAAAGCTTTATAAATTAAGAGTGTACAGTACTGCTATGAAGATAAACAAACTGGCCAATGTGAAAAAAATAAGAGTACAGAAACTGACCCATCCCATACACAGCAAGTAAAGTGATTTATGAAAAAGCTGACACAGCAGTGCAGGAGGGAAAGGATGGTTTTTTCGATAAACAGCACTAAGTCAATGAGATAGCCACATGGGAAAAAAATTTTCATCTTGACCCCTACCTCACACCATACGCAAAAACCAATTCAGATGGATTATAGATCTAAATGTGAAAAGTAAAACATTAAAGGTTTTAGGAAAAAAGAGTATACTTTCAAAACCTTGGAGTTAAGCAAAGATTTCTTAAAACACAAAAAACAATGAAAAAAAGGAAAAGAAATTACATATTGGAACATACTTGATAAACTAGAAAATATTACCATTAAGACCTTTGTTTGTCACAATATATATATCACTTTGAGGGTGAAAAGATAATTTAGAGACTGGCAAAAAAAATCTGTAAAACATATCAAACAAGGAACTTCACCTCTACTACGTAAAGAACTCCAACAAATCAATAAAAACAAGACTGACACACAAAAGAAAAATGGATAAACTCTTGAACTAGTAGTTGACAAATGAGGTTATCCAAACAGTCAATAAATATGAAAAGATGTCCTTCTTCATTAGTCATTAGAGAAACCAGAAAAATGCAAATTAAAACCATACTCACCAAAAAAGCTAAAACAAAAAAGAATGAAGTATGGTCAAGAATGTGTAGCAACTGAACTGTCAGTGACAGTGCAAACGAGTATAACCACTTTAGGGGAGAAGAAAAACTGGCAGTCTCTGCTAAAGCAAAATTTATTCCTACCTAAGATCACTTCTAGGGTATAAAAACAATAGAAATGTCTATATACGTTTGCGTTAGGACATGTGAAAAAATATTGATAGCAGCAATATTTCTAATAGCCCCAAACTGAGAACTACTCAAATTTCTATCAACAACAGAATGAGTAAATTAATTGTAGTTATTCATACGGTGGAATACTACACGACAATAAAAATAATTGATGTAAAATCTCATGCAAAAACATGGATGAACCTTACAAATAATACTAAGGAAAAAAGTACACTATGTGATTCCATTTATGTGCAGTTCAAATACAAGCAAAATGAATCAATGGTATAATAAATCAGGACAATAGTTCCCTTTGTGAGAGTTAGTGACAAGATGAGGTCATGAGAGAGAAGGCTTTCAAAAGGCTAGAGATTTCTATTTGTCTGGAAGCTAAATACATGGGTATGTGTTCAGTTTCTGAAAATTCACTAAGCTATATATTTGTAATTGTGTACTATGTATATCTAAATAAAAAGTCAAAAACTAAGACAAATCTTGGATCTGACAGACAGACATATAAGGAAAACTCTAAAGCACAAAATGTTCAAACTCACAAATGTTCAAACTCAAGGTGTGACTGTCTCTCCATTCTTAATATTTTAATAAGCGTTTTCATCCTGTGCCATCCGTAAGCCTTACTCACAACAAAAAGCTAAAAAAATAACTATTAAGTTTTTTAAATGTTAAACTTGGTACTTCTGAAAATAAATTTTTAGATCTAACAATCCTCAAATAGGCCCTGTGACTATAAAGAAACAAGCATTTACAGTTAACTAAACCTGTGTTTAGTTCAGCAAAATACTTCTAGCTATTAATATCTTAAACATTATGGATGAGAGTACAAATTAGTAAATCCTTTCTGAAGGGCCATTTAGTCCTTATTCATCAATTTTAAATGAATATAACCCAAGATTCAACAATCTCACTTCTAAATATCAACCCTATCTTAACACTCAATTTCACAATAATATGAATAGGGAAGTTCAATGCAATGTTTGTAATAGTAAAAAGTTTAGAAACAATCTAAATGGCAATTAACAGAAAAGTAATTTAAAAGGTTATAACACGTCTACACTAGGGGATAAGAATAACTCGTACTGTTTAAAGAACACTAAGTCTCATGATAAAACATTCTCTATGATCATAAAAGATACAAACGCACATTAAAAAGTTAGGTGGGTCACACAATAAACAGTTCATTACTTCTATAAAGTGGGATTAGAAAAGGAAGATAGAAAGATTAGGGGAGACTTTTAAATATACATACTCCTGTATCCTTTGCTTTTTACTGATGAACAGGTATTTTTATTTTAAAATATTAAATAAGTTGTCAAATGAAGCGACAGATATTTCAGCTACACAACAATATATTAATTCCTGAAAAATCTCTCTTCTGCAAAAACATGCACTCAAAATAGAGTTTATGGGGAAAAATAAGATTGAAGCAAACCATTTAAACCCATGCAATTTCGTAAAAATATCCCTAAGAAAAACAGTAACTTGTACTGAGGAAAGACTTGGGCAGCCAGTCATGTGGCTCAGACCTAGAGGCTACCTCAGGGGTTATTTAAAATCAACAAAACAGCCAAGTAGAAGTGCCCACTTATTGGTGCTGTGACAATCCAGATGTAGTGGAGTTTTAAGAAAATGGGGCGGCCATTAAGGTAGAGACAGGAGGAAGAGTAACACTGAGAATGAAGCCCCGTGTGGAATAAGAGCTAGGTGTTCATGTTTAACTTTCTTAAAATAAACCCGAAGGGAGCCTGCCTGTGTGGCCAAGGGCTTTACATCTCCCTGCTAAAGGTTCTATTTCCACTCCTGCTCTTCACTACCCAGGAGAAATATGAACAAACCTATGAACCAACACATCGTCCACATTATACTGACATCATTGCTCTATTTACCAATCATGTATGAGCTATAACTGGTGTTAAACAGTTCTTGTAGCTAAACAGACTGTATAAAATAATGGCTATCTTGCATATAACTGTTTCTTTTCAAAATTTAACCTTACCCAGATGCTTTAACTTTAGTTAGCCATCACAGTTTGGAACTTTAGTTTAAAGTCAAAATAAGTCATAGAACCCAGAAGCACAAATATATATAGCAGTATACTTTCATGTTACAATAATTCAAATGAATTGATTAGGTATTTTAAGTAAAATGTTTTACCTTGCTTATCATAAGCATTTAAGGGTAAACTTAAACTTCCATTATTGGCTGAGCTAATAAACATGTTACCTGATTGCTCTGTATAATATAAGAAGGGATGATTCTTCAAGGACCTTTCCCATCTCTAAAAATATTATGCCCCAAGTATGCCTGAATTTCAGAATTGTACTTTTTTCTCTTGCAAAGACCTTGATTCTCAGCGCCTACAGAATACAAAATCATAAGACCTTTGAATATGCTATAAAAGAGATCACAGCCCATCTAGTTCAGACGTTTAATAAAGAATTCTATTTCTACCTCCTGAACCTCTTTTTGACAGAAAGCTTATTTAAGTCCAATGTGTAAAATGAATGTATAGGATTGAGTTATGCTTTTTTGAGTGAAAAAAATACAACAGATTATCCTCTAGCTGTCTGCAATAAAAAACCAAACTCGCAGAACTAAAACTTTAAAATTGACCTAACCTAACACAATTATTTAATAAGTGAGAACTAAAGATCAGAAAAGTTAAATGACTTTCCAAGATCAGACGTTCTAGTTAATGGCAGGCCCACAACCACAACAGTTAATTCCTAAATCCAATCCAAGATCAGCTTTCTCTGAAAGCACCACTTTAAGTTCTTCTTAACAAGTAAGATTTTTGTTTACAATCATAAATAAATTCTATTTCATGAACTTGCTGTACTTCCCTATTTGCTATAGTAGTCAGTGCTCTCTAAACCTTGAGCAGTTAACAGGTATAAACACATTCAGCTAATAAATAAGAAAAATAAATGTGCTTTCCAAAGACATGTTTTAGAAGTTTACCTTATCTGCAGGGCATAACTTTAAAATAGATCATTTCTAGATGTGTTATACTACTAATGGTATAATTATAATTGGTCTTATTAATAACAAAAGGTAGCATTCATTGAGAATTTGCGGTGTTATGCAACTTAAAAAACCCAACTCTTACTGCTATTCCCCAAACCCCTAAACAGTGGCCTACACAGTGCTTTTTTCTGTTATTTCTAAATTAACTGCCCAAATTAAAACTATTTATATGCTCTTGAGAGAAATCCAGTCAGATTACATACTGTATGACACCATTTTTATAAAGTTCAAATCCAAGTGGAACTAATCTGTACTGTTAGGTTTCGAGAGTGAAGAGGAGCCTGCAGAAGGTTGGGGGTGGGGAGATGATTCTGGAGTGCTGGTGTTGGTTAAACAGGTGTAACCACTTTGATAATTTATCAAACCGCACGGTTAAATATTTCTGCACATTTCTGTATGCATGCCACACTTCAATAAAAATGTTTAGTTAAAAAATTCTCCGTATGATCTCTAAGACCTCATGATGCCCCTAGTGGTTGTACAGCTATCCACCTCACTCACTAATATTATCTGCCAGTCCTCATGGACTGCTGGGCCAGCTAATTCTGTAATATACTAAGCTATTTTTGGTCCACAGCAATTTTGCAATATATAATGCAATATACATATAGTCCATTATTTTGACAACCTACTATTACTACTAGAACTCAACATACTAATACACACCTGACATTCCCTTTGGACGGTAATATACAACACCTAACCAACTACAAAGTAAGACCTGCTTTAAGGGAAAAAAAAAAGTGTTATCACTGAGGGACAAAAGTATAGATGCGCCGTTTACGGCCATACCACCATGAACAAGCCCAAATCTATCTGATCTTGGAAGCTAAGTAGTGTTGGGCCTGGTTAGTACTTGGATGGGAGACCACCTAGGAAGACCAGGTGCTGTAGGTGTAAAAAATTAAAAAAATAAGGGATTGTAAGCTGACAAGGTCCTTGCAATCTGTGAGGTCAACCAAGGGTTGCCTCGCCTAAAAAAAAAATTACACACACACACACACACACACATATATGCTCAGACTAGAATTAGAAGTTAACTGAAAATGAAATTCATTGTTAAAATCATCTCTTCCATTTTCCAATTTTGACCTAGGTACTTAACAAATGTTACAAGTATTCCCTATCTTAAGAAAATAGACATTACAAAAGTGCTAAATCTGGGAATTTTGATATGTCCCTATATACGAAATATTTTTAATTTAGTAAATGTCAAAATCTGTATATCAAATGGATATCCTATTCCACCATACAAAATTCAATGTACTACCCATTTTCAATTCTGTGTAAGAGACTGGTTCAAACTAAATCCTAACTTGTTTTCACCTCTACCTGCATCCTCCCATTCCTTAAACCTATCTAATTCTAATGCCACCACTTATGTACTAAACATTTATTTAATCATGTTCAATAGATATGAATCACTTTTGCTCTGAGATCTAAAATACTGCCTTATATTTATACAGTTAGTTGGACAAACGGTGTTACAGAAACAATGATACCTGCAGTATATTTTTCCAAGTTACTATAAACGTGAATAATGCCAGGACGTCAAGGTAAATCAGGTGGAGATACCCAATCTAACTAGGCATTGACATGCACAAAGGGAGGTCAGTATACATGCTGGCTGAAACCTTGCTTCTGAATGCCTAGTCCTAACATGTCACTCACACAGGTACACTGCATACTCACCAACCCTGCAACCGATAAATCACATTGAGATTTACCAAAGCCAGTTAACAACTTTTCGAGATACTCTTAAATCATCAGGTAAAAAATGGAGTCTATTTGGTCAAACCCAGACATCTGGATATCTGTCTACCAGTACTATATACACCTACTATAATTTTTGTGATCACACGAAATCGCCTGTTACAAAGTTACTAACCAAACGAATAACAAAAACGTTGAGAGTTAAAAAGTATCCTGACCCAATATTAACATAATTTAAAATGCATTAACTGCGCTTTAGGATTAAGCATAGATTAGTTGGATAGCCTATTCTGAATCGTCCAAAGGATTTACAGAACTGCAGGTAAAGAGTAACAATGTTAAGTAAATTAAGACTTCAGGGTTTCTAAAATGCAAGTGACAGCTGGCTCCCCGGAAAGAAGGGGACTGACGCAAGCAGGTGCAGCTGTGGGAGACTCCCACAGACCAGAAAGAATAGAGGCAGGCCGCCCCCAAGAGCAGGGCTCGTCTAAGGATTCAAAACGGGCGGGCGGGTATATCTTGGGCAGGAGAACGCAGCCGTTCAGGGCTCCGTGCCCGCCAGAGACTCCCCTGTGCACAAATGGAGGCTTAGACCCAAGAGCTGAGGCCTAACTGGGCAGCGGCCTGCGGTGCGGCCAGCGCCGGACATTCCGGAGCCGGAGGAGACCACGAGGGAGTCGGGA